TATATATATATATAATCATCGCTGTCCAAAGAACATGTATCTCCATTTTGTCTATTTTCTACATCATTTCAACATTCCAGCATCCTTTATAGTGTGTAAAAATTCATGATAAATGGACAAATAGAAGTGCTCTAAAATCACTTGGAATAAAATCTCTTTACAGTAACCTGCATTGAAAAGTGGACAGCGACGATATGTACTATATAGACTATATAGATTTTTTTTCTTGTCTCGGTCTTGGCTCAGACTCTCCTTTTACATATCTCCCTTATACATCTGTAACTCGGTTTTATTGGAAGGATGGGACAGTCAGTAAAGACGCAGTAAGGTGCAGTAGAGTGGACAAATTAAACACTGATAGATTTGATATTATACTTAGTGTTGGAAACGTGTCTGTATTTTCTGTTATGTTATATTGTCATAATCCCTACTCCTTTTTTTTCTAGTCTGAAAAACTTGGTCCTTAGTGGCAGTGAATAAGCGATTGCATCTGCATGTTTCCTTTGGATTGAATCCAACAGTACTCACATTAACAAGTGTGTTGTATGTGTAAAGCAAGACTACAACGAATACTGGGGTCAGTTTAAAGCTTTGGTTGATCATGACTATTGGACTGAAATTGGAGTTAGTTTTTGCTACAGTCATACACTTTTGAGAACTACAGAACTTTTCACAGTGAAAGAACAGACGGCAGTCTTATAATAGTTAACATATCTCTATTTATTTCTCCTTAGAACAGAACTTTCATAAATGTAGCTGTATTTTCATCTTACGTTCAAAAAAGGTCATGACCTGTGAGACCAATTTATAAATATTTAATCAAAGTCTTTGTGTAAAAAAAATCAAAAGAGAATCAGCGAACTAAAGCATCTATTGTATGACAATATGACACTGTAATAATAATTGTAATATCTATGTATGTCTGTCCATCTCCTTGTCAGTGTTTAGAACTCCGAGGAACCACGATTTTCGCCCATCCCAGAAGAGGAGAACATTCACTTTAAGCAGCTCACACTTCTTTTAGACACATGTTGAACAAAATGCAGCCAAAACATCTTACATGGGACAAAAACAAACGGGTAACAGAGCAAAAAATTGAGGGATTGGGGGGAGAAAATACACCGAAATCTCAAAGAAAGACAGGCAACAGTGAGACTTCATTACCACAAATCTACAATAGAATGACATAGGCACATCTGCATAGATCAACAGGATTTTAGAAGATCAGCGGTTCAAACAGGAGATGGGAATGATGAAGACGGAACCGTAGGACATCTGACATGAGGTGTTGTGGAAAATGCTGAGACGGGCAACCGCGGGCTGAGGCAATATCCAGGCATAGGCAGGAACCAGGCCTATTTTTAGAAGGTAAGCAGGTAGAGGAGAGTAGAGAACTTCTAGATGCTCACCTGTTTGGAAAATACATCGTCTGACAAAATAAGGAAACTGATGACAACATGTGCAGCATACACTCTTGAAAGTAAAGATGCCAGAAAGGGTTCTTGGGAGCGATACCATGGAAGAATCAGTTTTGGCTCCCTGAAGGACCTTTAACTGAGTGGTTTGACTGAGAAACCCCCAAAGTGAAAGGTTCTTTAGGGTTCTTCTATGACAGATTCTTTTATGGCAACTAAGAGTGCAGTGTAGTCCATTGTACTGCTGTTGTTGACATGGCAAGGCAAAAACGTGTTGGCGTAATTTAGGCTGTCTGGGTAAAATATTATGTTTACATTCATTACAGAATGTCACAGCACTGGTTCTCAGTCCAGTTCTCAAGGACTTCCAGCAAGTCCAATGTTTGTTCTATTCCAATTTGCACACTCAAGCCAACACATATTTGCCTGGCGTGAGCATGTTTTGAGAAGGAGTAGAACAAAAATAAAGCTGGCTGAGGGGTCTTATTGTGGTGGACTGGGAGCTATCGGCTTTCAGTACTGTCTCTCCAGTGTTGGATATCCCAAACTGAAAAAACATGATGCATACTTAATCATTTACAAATATCCTTTCTAATATTATTTTGCTAAAAAAAAAAAGAAAATAAAATGCTGATCATAATATATCATTATGTATTTTATATATATATATATATATATATATATATATATATATATATATATATATATAATTATTAGTGATTGTATTTGTCTAAATAGTTTTATATATGTGATCTATCAAATAAATGGGTCGTCCTCCACATACAGTGACCCCCAAAAATATTTGGGCATTTTGCTATACTTAAAAAATGTACTTAGTTCATTGTGTTAGTAAACAAAATGTCAAACCAAGTGACATTTGTTTTAAAACAGACAATTTCAATTGTAATTCCAAAAAGTAATATTTGTTTTTGCTATTAAAAGGCGGCTGGTGATTTTTGTCATCATTTCCTTTGTTATCGAGACTGTTAAGCAAGTTCTTTGCAGATGCAGGTCTGCATCCAAAATGCCTTCTGAGTTCATGATTCCATCAGTGAGCACAAGCTCACCAACAACACTGTAAGAAAAACTGTCCAAGACTTTGGCATGTCCATCTCTGTGCTTTAAGTTCCCTCAGTCTTCTCCAGACTTTCTTCACACTAAGAGTCTAGTTTGATTTGTTTTTCTCTGAAACAAATATCTTTTTGTTAAAAATTCTATAAATTAAACTAAAGAACTTTATTAATGGTTATATTATTAAAGTGTCCGAATACTTTTTTGGGGGGCCACTGTAGTAACAGTAGGGCTGCTGTATCCATAATTGCTGATGTTTGCTGCATGGAATCAGCACTTAGGATGGTGTAAATATGGCTGAATAATGAAATAAGGAATGATTGTCACCTTCGAACTGTAAGACCTTGGCCAGCTGCTTTAAACAGCAAAATTTCGTGAATGGAACATACGACAAGACTACGGGTTAAAGCATATCCTCGTGTTCACTTATCAAACCCATCACAAAGCTACAATACATTACTAGTCTTACCTCTATTACATTCATAGCCGAATCCACCGTTACTGCTGCCATTTCTCAGATTATACACTTTTCTTTGAAGAGATAACACTGGACAAAATGAATGATGGGTGTTTAGGGGGCTTCCAGATTGAAGGATGCTGCAGTCTCGGTAAAAGACGTAGCTACGCAAGATAAAACGTGCACACAAAGTTCTCCAGCCAAATTGAGTTACAAAGACCTGGGGAAGGTACAGCACATGTTGAGCCTAAAAATAAACCTTCTCAAACTATGTGGCCCATGATGAAACACCAGGTAAAAACAGACTGCAAAACAGCACATCAGCAGCTAGCGGCCCATGCGGTCGGACACCAAAGACGACGGTCCTGCACACAGAAGGAGAAGTATAATATGAGCCCTTGAGAACTCCTTCCCTCGCGCGCTATCTGCTGAGCCCTTTACACGATGATTCGGGATGTTCTGAGGACAAAAGGATGGCAAAATTACAGCGTAATTATGATTTTCGTCAGCTAGTTTCGTCAGCTGTAAGCTACCGTGCTGAATGCTTAAGAGATGCGATAAGAACAACCATTGAGGAAGTTGTCAAAACATGGTGTCGTTTCCAATAGATCCTCTTTGTGCTACCCAAAGTGTGTGAATATTCATTTCCGAACTAATGTAGGTGGTATAACAAGCACATTCCGAACAAAAGAAGTACAATCGCTTGCCTTATGTTTTGACAGAATGGCTGCCATACAATTTTTCTATGCAATTTGACTAGTCCAGGCACTGTAATCATGTTATTGCAGCCTGGTGATGTTAAGATTCCACTCTACTGTAATAGCAAGCTGGCTTGTCACTCTACAGGGCTAATTAAAATCTCAATAAAACACCTGTCTGATGAGAGCCGAGCATGAAAGCACAGCAGAATGCTCCACAAGCTTATTCATGCAAAGGGTGGTTATAATCGTCAAAATGAGGAGACTTTTGAGGTTTCTACCGAGACCTTCAGCTACCATTAAATGGGTGCTTGAACTGAAAATCAGCATCAATTTCAGTGTACGCATTCCTCATCGTACAATACAAGCATGTCAGTCCTGCCAGTAGGTGTCAGCAGTCCACCACTAGTACGTTCACCTTTCTGTTTTGATGTCATGAGAGGACAACAGGGATATAATGGAGGCTGCAAAGCAGCACTACAAAAGCTGAGCGTTAGGACTACTAAAAAGAATAAAATGACAAATGGTGGCACAAGCAACATGATTTTTAGTTTGAGGCCCTCTTTTTTGATTGACCATATCTTACCAATAGCACATGCTACTAGGCTCTGTTTTTGAGGCTCCATTGACATATAGCCCTGTCTATATTGATGAGAGATTTTGTTGGCCAGAAGGCAAGGACAGAGCTTCCAAGAAAAAAAAACAAAAAAACCTTGGGTCTTCCGGATGCTGTCTAAATCTGAGAAAGCAAGAAAGGAGGTAACAAGTACTGAATGTAATTGGGCCCACGACCAGTCAACCATTCACATCTTTGCGGCTACAGTAGCAGCGAGTAGAGAAGCTATTCATGCTAGCTCTCGAAATATAGAATAGAACGGGGCACAAACATAGAAAAACCTTGACCGAGACATGGATACATATAACTTTTGCTCTCCCCTTTCACCCTCCCTCCCCCCGTGTACATTTCCATTTTGATCTGAAGCAAGTGAAGTGAGCAGAGGAAAAACCATCTTTGTCAGCTGAAGCTCGAAATGAAAAAGTCAGATCATCTCCTAGTGCAAAGAGAAAGAAAACACGCGTATATATGTCTGTGTGTGTGTGTGTGAGTGCATGTGTATGGTTTTCAGAACGTGTGAGAGCTGACGTCTTGGTTAGGACGTGGCCTGGACCTTCACCTGGAACCATCTTCCTCTTCTTCTCCTCTTGCGTACCTCTTCAATCCTGTTGTTCTTCTACTAGCTGGGGCCTAAAGAGCACTGAACATATAAAGCGCAGCTGGGGGTCGGCCAGGCGAGACCGCCGCTGGCCAGTGCGCCCCGGGGCTTCGACCCAGTTTGACCCCGCTTGCTCCTCGCTGGCGGAGGGGCGCCCTTTTTTTGGCGGGAGATGGTTTTGGAGCATGCTAATTCGCTAGCGCTAGCCCTCCCAACCACCGCTGTCCGAATCACTCCTCCCTGGGGGCGTTGTTGTCTTCCAGCGGGAAGATTCCGGCCAGGCAGGTGGAGTTCTGGCTGGCCGTCATGGTGGCCACCGTATGGAGGAGGACCAGGACCAGCAGGCAGAGCTTGAGCCTGCCCTGGCCCAGCCGCGGCGCACCCGAGGAGGCGGAGGCGGCGGCGGCAGTGACGGAGGAGCTGTGCTGGCACGATGGGTGAGTCCTTTTGAAAGTGTCCCGCGAGCGGTTGCTAGAGTTCAGCTCCCACCGCACGTCGCAGCACTGTGGCTCCTGCTCAGCGCTCGCCGTCTCTGAAAGCCCTGGAAAGCACATGAAAAGACGTAGATAAAATAAGGATTTCTTTGGTTTCCAAACAGTTCCAAACAGAGTGACACTGAAAAATACACTGGTTTAACTTCACATGTGTCCACATAATAAAATATATTATACCTATTATTATATACATTATATATAATAACAGAACCCAATAAATAGGGCGGCACGGTGGCGCAGTGGGTAGCGCTGTCGCCTCCCAGCAAGAATGGCCTGGGTTTGATTCCCGGCCAGGTGACCAGGGTCATTTCTGTGTGGAGTTTGCCTGTTCTCCCTGTGTCTGCGTGGGTTTCCTCCGGGTACTCTGGTTTCCTCCCACAGTCTAAAAACATGCAGTCAGGCTGATTGGACATGCTGAATTGCCCCTAGGTGTGAGTGAATGTGTATGTCTGTCTGTCTGCCCTGCGATGGACTGGCGACCTGTCCAGGGTGTATCCTGCCTTCCGCCCAATGACAGCTGGGATAGGCTCCAGCACCCCACCGCGACCCAGAAGGATAAGCGGTTTAGATGATGGATGGATGGAGAACCCTATAAATAGGAACTTAATCATTATCTAAAGGTTCGTTAATAATATTAAGCACCTGAGAAAAAAAGCTGTTTATCTGGGCAGTAAATGTTTATTTGCTCAGCTAAAAATAAAATATAAATAATAGTAACGCAATAAGTACTGATTTTATGTGTTGATGTGCTCATTTAGCCATTTCCAAACTTCTCCTTGAGTCAGAATAATGGTTTTTCATTGTAATTGTTTAATTGTTTATATTTATTCTAATGAAAATTCAGTACATTTCTTTTTTCAATGCAAAAAATATCAGCATGTTTCTCAACACAACACATCACCTCAAAAAAGTTTACAGTTTGGCACACACATCTCCTGAAAACTTTACCAGTATGTCAGATATATATTCATAATGAGTTTCACACCAGCCTCCACTTTTTCCACCCTGACACGACTGTAACCAAACAGTGTACTGAGGCAACATAAAAGCAAATCTGCCACCAGTACAGTCTGTAATAGTCAGGGCTTGACTACACTAGGCAAGAGCAGGCAAGTGCCTAGAGCTTCCCCTGGAACCATGATCCCTGTAAATATACAAGTTATGTATATTATATATTATCTGTGAAACCCTGGTCAAATCACGTTTTGTTGTGTTGACTTTCTAAGTGAAAATAAATTAACACATCCTCTACAGAGAACACAATTCTGTACATTTTAATATACAATTACTGTTTATTTCCTGAATTGACCATATTGCGGGGATGGGGGGTTTTGTGTTTTAAATATTTAAGTGTATTCCCTATTAAGGATATGTTAAATTCTCCCACTCTCTGATCCCGCAGCCATGATGCTGTAACATGTGCAGAATGTTTCTTGCCATTGTCATTTTGCAATAAGCATGGAGGTCCCTGAAAAACACTTCATCTAGAAAGCAGCAAATTATTGCTGTCGGAACAAAACCTTGCATCTCCATTTTTGTAATTTTTACATTTTTGACATAATTTGAAAATGCCTGTTACATTGTGTGTAAATTTCATGATGAATTTTAGTATATTCTTTCCTTCTCCTGTAAAGTCATCATTTTGGAGCTACAAGGTTTTGTTCCAACAGCAGCAATATGTTGCTCCAAAATGTGTTCAGTGCTAGTGGTGCTTTTACAGGTGTGCAGGTTACCTGCTAATACTTCCTCATAACATGACAGACCCTGGCTTTTGAACTTTACGCTGGTAACAGTCTGGATGTTCGTATTCTTCTTTGGCCCAGAGAACCCAATGTCCATTTTTTTCCATAAACGGTCTGAAAGGTTGACTCATAAGTCCACAATACATGTCCATTTTAGCTGGAGCCCAGAGAAGTCGGCAGCGTTTCTGGACACTGATGACACATGACTTTCGCTGTGCAAAGTACAGTCTTAACTTGCACTTGTGAATGCAACAAAGAACAACAACAGTGTTTAACAACAACAGTTTTTTGAAGCATTCCTGAGCCCATGTGGTAAAATCCATCACAGAAGCACACTGGTCTTTAATGCAGTGCTGAGGGGTCAAATGTCATGGGCATTAATTTGTGGTTTTCAGCCTTTTTAATAACACATAGATTTCTCCACTTTCCTGAATCTGTTGATATTATGCACTGTAGATGGTGAAATACCTAAAATCCTTGCAATTGCTTGCTGAGGAACACTATTTGTAAGCTGTTAGATTTTTACATTATTTTAAACTGTTAAATTTTTTGTTGATGCATTTTTGGCAAAGTGCTGAGCCTTGACCATCTTTGCTCATAAGAGTCTCGGCCTTTTCTGAATTCTCTTTTTAAACCCAAACATAATTGCATCACCTGTTTATGATGTTTTTTTGAACACTTCACAACACTTCTAGCCTTAAACTGCACCTGTCTCAACTTTTTCAGAATGTGTTGCACACAGTAAAAGTATATTTACACAACAACAACAAAGAAGTTGATAAAAAGTGTTGCCTTTGTACTATTTATATTCAAATACAGGTCAAAGTAGTCACTTCTTTCTGATATTTATTTGCAGTTTACACACTCTCCCAAATTAGGAAAAATAATAGACTTCTGAGGTTTTGAACTGGCAGTGAAGATACGCATCTGTTTTACAAATTTTTGTGTATCAATCTCGTGTACTCAGAGTTTTCCCCTCATGGCACTCTGAACTAGCACTGTGTGAACCATCCACATTATGTAAATCTACGTTCAAATGCTGTTACACGTTAACTGCCCCCACAGAGATGACATTAGCGGGTCACTTGTGCCACTTAAGATGTAATGTAAAAGAAGAAAAAAATGAATAAATGGTCAGCTACTATGAAATTAAAGCACATGAAAGAGATTTAAAATGACTGCTTTTAAGGCTAAGTAGCATTTTGACTCACTTCTGTTAATAAAAAAGAGCAGTTTGTGCCCAACTGAATCACTAAATCCTTCCTTATATGAAGGAAAGTGGAGAATGACAAATGGCTGGCAAATAACGCCATGAATTACTAGTACAGTGAACAACAATTCTAAATACATTTGCATTTTAATTCTAAATACTTTCACTTTTTCCATCCTTGTTGCTGATATCATCAAACACCAAAACATACTAAAGATCTACAATCCATCATCTACAGTGCATTTTGGTCAAGTTGTCACTATGAGACATCACTGAAACTTTTCTTTGAATCATAGCTTTAGAGAACAGACAGCTTTGAGTGTCTGTCCTCTATGTCTGTGCTAGGGTTGGATCATTTTTGGCACTTTGCATCTGAAAAACAGGCTTACATGTACAAGCAGAGTGAATCCAAACTCTTAAAGCTCACACTGAGATGAATGATGCAAATGAAATCCTAAAAGTGTCTTTAAATATTCTTTTGTTTGAAAACAATTGGCAGGATTTAAGGTGCGTTAAGTAAAACTTGGTTTGTAGAACATAAGCCTTAACTATGCAGCCATACAGCCCAGAATGAGGCTAAGTCTTAGCACAATATGAATGTTAGGTAACCAAATCAGATTATGGCGCAATACATATGAGAAGTGGGGAAGCATTCATTAACTAGACTGTGTACAAAACAGACTGCAGCACTGGCTGTTCAGACTGTGCTTTGATATTCTGATGTGGATCTAGATTAAAGCAACTCATCCATCAGAAACAGGACCAACCTCTTCTGACTCTTTGGTATGATATAGATCTAAATCTAGATTAAATCACCTAGAAATCAAATCTACCACAGTTATCCGCTTACCCTAAATGTAGTCGGTCAACCAAGACATCTTTGGTTTCCTTCTTTAGTTTTGCACTAGAGGTACAAGGCTAATGTAACTAGAAAGTGAAGGGATATAATGGAAGCAGTGCCAGTCCTAGCCTTCCTGGGGCCCTAAGCAAAACCCACCCAAAATTGCGTATCTCCATATTCATCTTAACTTTCCTTCACAGCCCTTAATTCCCCTTACAGTCCTCTGCTGTTAATCATCATGTTAATCACATAGTTCTTCCACTATATAATGTCACCTTTAGAATTTAGCTTTTCTACACACACGATGGGATGTGGACAATCTCAGATACATCTTTAAGTTTTAACTCAGTCAACAAGGGGGAAGGTGAGATGCACAGCCCCAGAAAAAGGCTAAGAAAAAGAGATCTGTCAAAAGGAGCCACAAATTTAGCCACATTTACAGCAAATGACCAAAGATGTTCCCATTTAGGAAATCTGTCTGTGATTTGTCTTCCTACAACATGCAGTGCATCCGCAAATATGAAGCCAATACCAAGTGATGCATGCAAACCCTTCTGTGTTAGTCTTTTATATCATTGTGCACGAAGTATACTTTCACATTGTTTTATAACTTGAGTGAACATTTTGCAAGTTGTTCACACATATTCATGGTCACGATTTCTTAATTCATTCCCACAATTAACTATTTGTTCTCTCGTTCTCTTTTACACACTTGTGAAAAAAATAACGAAATGAATCTGTTAAACTCTCTCATTACTAGACCTCATAATATCAAACGAACTTAGAAATATACAGATGTTTAATCTCTGTACACTACAGGGCTTATTTTGGTAAACAGTGAAGTATTTTATTTGATAATGATTTTAATAGTCCAATAATTAGTCCAATCTATTAAACTCTCACCGTTTGTCCTCATGCCACATCAATGTTTCTGTGTTTAATTTGAGGATGTTTAATCATTGACGCTGAACTTTTCTTTATGACGGCCCTCAACATTGCAGTTTGACAGGGAGTAAAAACAATAAGCGGCTGCATTGTGGCTTCATCTCTGTTACATATGATTATTAGAAAGTTCAGTTTAGTGAAGATTTTGATTGTAGTTTATTGTCATCTTTCATTTTACCACCAAACTGCAGCTGCACTGATGAATCTGTGGCCGTTTGCTGATTCTGATAATGTGCTGTGAAGGGAAGCTACAGTGTCCTTATAACGAACTCATATCAGAATCAGACCTAATGATCACCTCTCTGTCCATTATCGCTTCAGTCTAACACATCGAAACCTGTCAGACAGTTTCAGGGAGCTTTTAGCCTATTTGTGTACAGGACAAATAAAACGATCTGTATCTACTTCATTTATTTTGTTTGCGCACAAATAAAAAAATATGTGCATGATTAAAAGAAGACGAGAGAACAAATTAAAATATCGTGGACACATATAAAAGAAAACATACTCACGAATTAAAGAAAACGTGTGTATGATTAAAAGAAAATGAGAGAACGAACTGTTAATGAATTAAGAAAAACTGATCACAAATAAAAGAAAATGTGCGTACAAATTTAAAAACGTTCAAATCAATTTTCACTTTTACCCATGTCCCCTCCAGGGCTCTATAGGTTTTAGCTGCATGCTGCTATACAAACATATATAAAACATAGTCGGTTTATTGGGGCATGAAGTCCTGTTAGTGAGGCATTGCTCCACCAAATGACCTCCTGACTCCAGTCCTGCTTCAAAGCCATCCTATCAAATCTGCCACAGCTACTATGTCTGTGTGGATAATAAAAAAATAACGTACGCTTTGTTGTTACACTTTGACGTGACCAGACACACTTTACTTTGAACATCACAAAGTGTTTAGGCCTACTGAGGTTCTCTGCACTCTGTTGAAAAGTATATAATATAATAATTATAAAATATTATAATAAACAGTAGAGGAATGTGCTGTGAGTTGACAGCTGGGGTTGTTCAGGAAGAACCAGCCCTGAATGGAAGCTTATGTATACGTGATTAGCATTGTGCAAGCTGCATCCCTAATTCATCATAGAGGTACCTCAAACTATACTGAGTTGCTAAGTAATCTCAAATAAGTGTTTTTTGACATGGCGATATATACACATAAAATAGGCAGAGGTATTTTGCATCCTTAACAACAGTAGTGGGAACAAATGTATAGAACCATCAGAAACAATACCTACCTGTACATATAAAACTGGGAGTGCCACCATGTATAAGATCATCATTGTCAGGCAATATGAAGGGACATCTCTGCTGGACATCCAGACAGTACTGCTCACAGGGAACCTTGCGGCTACAGCTGGACTGATTGCTCTGGAAGTACTGAGCGCAGAGCCAAGGCTTGTATACCATCTGCAAAAAAAGAGGCAGGAAGAAAAGTAAGATTAGCAAAACATGCCACCTGAAAGTCAAAAATGCCTACAAATTTTTATGTGTAGACTACTTGTGTACAGTTTCATTATATGTGTGAATTGGAAGTGTCAACACTAAAATCTCTCTCTGTATTGGTTAGAGAACTGCTAAAATGCATGTTTTTTTTTAACTATGGATACATTTTTTCAACCTCTGTACAGCACAAAACATTAAAAAATACTACATCAGTTAATTAAAAAGCATAAAAAATACAAAAATAGTGTTAAAACCAAATGACAAATGAAACAGAAAAGATAAAAGTAGCAGTTTTTTCACAGCTCTGTCTACAAGCAATACTGAGAATGACCAGAAGGGGGCGCTTTGGTTTAAAATGCACCTTATGCGCGAGCCTTTTTCCTCATTGCATCAATCTTACTCAGGACAGCTCTGTTGCTTTTGTCACCTCATTGCGAGTCACAGAGGGCTATTAAGGTCGTAGTCACGGCACGAAAAACAGCTGCTTTTAGTTCATGATCTCTTATCCTGCCTGCATCATTACGCCATCAGATCCCCAATCGGTCCCTAACCTCGCCCTTCCCCCCAACCATGAACACGCATTACATTAGCACATTTCGTTTCACGTGGTCTTTTTTTTTGCACCAGGCTAGCATGTCTGCATATAAGATGAGAGCGAAGTGGGCAGTGGATGGGGTCGCTAGCGAGGGTGACAGCACTGTAAGAATAGCTCTAGCTCATTTATTTTGCCCTACATAGTGCACCCAGCACAGGCCGCTGTTGAGGAAAGGGAAAGAAGGCAGTGCATCCACAAATTGCGGTGTGTGTGTGTGTGTGTGTGTGTGTGTGTGTGTGTGTGTGTGTGTGTGTGTTTTAAAAAAAGGAAAAGGAAAAAAAAGAGAACAGGAGACGTAGAAAAGCAGGTCATCATTAGCACTGTCTGGCTGTCAGAGAATCCGGAGATGTAGACTCATTTGTGAGGCTCCGTTTCTCTTCTCTTCTCTTCTCTCTCGCCCTCTATCTTTCCTGCCTCTCTCTCCCTCTCTTCCCTCTGAATACCTCAGAAAACAAGCTGGCACAGGCTTGGAACAAGAAGCAGCTCGCCAGAAGGGGAGTGCCCTCTCATCTACCAATCGCCATCCCAGAGGGAAACTGGTGGAAAGTGAAAAGTCAGATTTGATTGGAAGGCGGCCTTGTCACTTTGTTTTTTCCCCACCGTGTACAAATCCATGTACCATTGCACAAGGTCCAAGGTTCGGACCAGAACGAGCGCAAAACGAAGTGCCTGAAAAGAGTCGGTGGCTCATTCACGTGTCAAGAAACGTGCTTCTACTTTGGATATATCCGACGAGCGCATCACAGCGCTACATTGCATAACGAAATCTCTAAAAAGGCCTGCAAGTTCCACAGCTATGAGCGCATCCCAATCCTTCCACATCCCACACAGTGGTAGAGGAAGGTCAAAAGGTTAAAGCTTGCATTGCCTTCTGGGAATCGGGGTGCAAATGAGGCAGCGAAATGCCAGAAAGCGCTGTGATTATCAACCGTAGGGCCTCCTGGGACCGCTCATGATTGTGTGGCCTCGAGCTGAGGTCGAAGGTTATGGAAACGTTTTTCCAGCACGGACCATGGACACGCGTGATGCCTATAGCATCAGTCAGACATCGACAGAGATAGACAGCGAGAGGAATGCAGTGCAAAAGGGAAATACATGGGAAATACAGCTTGGGGAGGCTTAGCAAACATGACCGTGGAAGAAAATGCAAATGGATGTGACCTGTGGACATGGAGAACACTGGGGAATCACGACTGATGAGGTTAACCTGCTGGCTTTGCCACTGTATGTATGTGTATCTAAGTGGGCAAGTTGTGGTCAGTTTGTTGATGTAGACAACAAGAAGGCCTTTTTGTATGCCAACAAAAGCAACAACAGCAATTGTTGAAAAATGCTGAAGTCATTTGCTTAAAAGCAAAGAGTCTGTTTATACTTTGCACTGATATGCATTTTGGCTGGATTCCATTTACACTTTTCACTAAAATGTGTCCCCAGTGTGACCAAATGAGATCCGATTGCAAAGCACATCAACACATGCCATTTTAGTTCTACCTTTGTTTACTCTATTCCTCATTACGATATGAGTTGACAGACATGGCTTGGACACTTTAATCGGCCACGAATGCAAGAAGGCTCTTGACTTGGGGAACTCCAGCCTCACGTATCCTTCCATTTCATTGTTTATTTTCTCATCTGCTTCTCAGTGCACGGCAGACACGTTTCTGCTTATATAATTGCATATGGGTAACGTAAACGCATTATGTTTACACTTGTGTTAAATGTGGTGAGGATCTGTCTCTGACCACTTCCGAATGTGATTTGAGTGACCCAATCATAATCCGATCACATGCATGCTGGGGGTGTTTACACCTGGCTTTTCACTATAATACCTTCATGTGTTGCACAGATGGAACTTTGAATGATGGCGTCTTGTGACGAGGGAAAGGGAGGGGAAATGGAAGAAAGCATAATGATTCCATTCAGAAATGAATCAAGTACGCTATATGGCCAAAATGATCTGCCAGGAGAGAGCTACCTAATGCGATGCATAGCGCGAATAGTAAAGTTTGGTAGAGGAGGGATAATGATCTGGGGCTGTTTTTCAGGGTTTAGGCTAGGCCCTTACGTTTCCATGAATGGCAATGTTAATGCTACAGCACACAAAGACATTTTAGACAATATTATGCTTCCAACTTTGAGTCAACAGTTTGATCCATAAACACATGGTTTGACAAGTTTAGTGTGGAGGAACTCTAGTGACCTGCACAGAGTCCTGACCTCAATCCCACTGAACTCCTTTGGGATGTCGTTTACGAGCCAGGCCTTCTCATCCAACATCAGTGCCTGACCTCACAAATGCTCTTCATACTGTGATATCAGACCAAATTCCCACAGAAATATGCTTAAATCTTGTGGAAAGCCTTCCCAGAAGAGTGGTGGCTTCAAAGCTGCAAAGGGCCTTCATATGAATACCCATAGTTTTGAAATGGTCACATAGGTGTGATGGTCAAATGTCCACATACTTTTAGCCATATAGTTTAGCAGTCAATAGCTTAATACATCACTGAAGTAATCGCTAGTGGCAGTTTTAAGTTCTCTGTGCACAATATGTGTAGCTCACATCGGTGATGTCTTACTTTGAGCAATTGGCATTTGTATCCGTGGTGCCTGCAAGGGACTGAGATCAAGGCGTTAGATAAGCAAGGTCACAAATGGACACAGTCTATTCTTGATCAATAAGCGACATGCTATCCCTAATGGCCAATGATGTTACAAAGAAACCGCTCAGTGGCCACTGTGGAGTAGAAAGGCTGAGGGTTGGTGACAGATGGATGGATAGGAAGAGATTATGTGGAAAAAAGAGAACTCTTTGGATTCCTGCCAGCGCTACGGATATATTTATTGCTGTAGAAGTGCATATGTGAGTGCACAGGCTACCACACAGGCACAAACACTTGCATGCACACACATTATTCCATCCCTTATCAAGAAGCGTTACATAACACAGACATCCTCCTCTACAATATTAGCCTAGTTTGGTAGTTTCTCTTAGATACCTCAGAGTGAATATATGCTTGTGGGTGTGAGCGAACATATCTCACATGCTCAATGAAACTTCATTAACCATAAGTTTCTCATTAATGATTCAAATCTAATTAGACTGCTTCCGAGGATCATTACAATGCATCAATGGTAACTAATTATATGAAAAAAAGACTTGCCACATTATTACGAAACACGATTAGATTAAGAAACCTGGAGTTTGTGCAACGTTGACTGTAATTGTGAGCCAATGAGTACATGCACTGGGGACAAATGCCACATTGGAGGCAATTGGACTTAACACAACTATCAACTCTAGGGTGGGGGAGTGCCTAACATCATTTAGGGCTGAGTTACAGACTGGAGGATGAAATTAGATGTTCCCTATGTTCTAAGGGCATTGGCTAATGGATTAATGGTGTTTTTAGCCTTGAGAGCCAGCACACTCTTCAGAAGGCTGTTCCCTTATGCAGTGGCCTAGCAATGCCTTTTACCTTTAATAATTATTATACATTGTAAACAGGGCTTAATTTGTGCCGTAACAAGCCAGATCCGGATCCTGCATCTTCCGGATTGAATCTGGCACTTATTTTCGTGGATCCGCCACGTTAAACTCATCATTGTGAGAATCTGTAGAGATGTATCAAGAAAAATCATATTTTTTAACTCCACGTACTGTACTTCAGTACTGCGAAAAATCTGAGGCCACCTTTCATTTATTACATTTCCAGTCAAAACAAACACTAAGTACAAGTTACAAGCAGACAGAAGTCTCAACAACTAGGATCAGTAACTTTCTAGCAGTAGCATTAGCCATCTGGCTTTTTTCTGCTTTAGACAGCTAGCAGGGGCAAATATTCAAACATTTCAAACAGCCTGTTTCCAAAAATCCACCCCAAAGCAGTTGTAGTTTTTTTTTTAAAAGTACCTCCTCCTCAAGATACATCATCAGAAGCGGGTTTTCACCAGTCTTTAAACCACAAAATCACACTCTTAAGACTATCGTGTACTGTAGGAGGCAAGTAGGCATGTTTACAACATAAAATATACTTAAAATATAGACATAAAATAGACATAAAATCAAATATAGACATACAATTATTCATTCTGGCTGGGGTGCTCATGTTAAGTTATCTTAAAGAGGCCATTTTCTGTATTTTAATTGATTTTACCCCAAAGTCCACTTATGTGTGTGGATTTTTGTACCAAAAACAGACACAACTAATATTCACATGATCATTTACTAACCTTCCTTCATCCACTAGAACTAAACAAGCTGGTATTGTTCCTGTGCTTTTAAGACCTGATATATGTAAATGACTTTACTGCCCTGTGTTGTGCCAGTCTGGCTGACAGTCATGGAACAAAATGTTAACTCTGAAAGAGA